AGGTTTTTATTTTTAGATTTGAGTTCTAAATGTTAGGTACCAAAAATTTTCCAAAGTCCTGTTTTGGATCTGGCTCTAAGTAGGATGACCTGAGTAATTACAGACCTGTAGACTGACTGAGATCCTAGGGAAAAGAATAGAATCACTGATACAGGATTTGCTTCTATAATGAATTAAGGAAAAGTAATGTAATTAATGCCAATCAACATGGGTTAGCAGCAAATACATTCTGTCACATTGGTTTATAATTGCATCAAAAAGATATTAAGTGTGGTTACTAAAGGTAATGCATTCAGACACATGAAGCATGTGACTCGACCACACAACACTGAATCAAGGATACAGATTTATGATACAAAGACCATCCAGTCCCTGGTTAAAGCATTAGCTTTAGGTGTCTCAAAATGTAATTTTAAATGAGGAATTGTAATCACACTTCTTATTAAGATCTTTCTTAGGTTGTTTCTTGGCTGCATACTACTAAATACTTGTTGGTAGCTTTCAACAAAACATTTAGTCATCACAGTTACTTGCAAAAAATACAAAGATTGAAGGAATACTTAATAAGGTAGGTGATAGAGTGGGATATTGACCAAAGAGGAGCTTTTTAAGTGATGCTACATCAAAAGGACTAACAGCATCATCCCTGGAAGGACAAACAAATGTTAAGCAGGGATGATGATGCTGTAATACTTCTACGTTCATGCTTTTAGCAGCTGGGCCTGGGATGCTCTCTCCAGTTCTGGTGTTAGCTCAAGAATAAAACAAACAAACAGTCTGTTGAACTTCCAGAAAGGATGTTAAGGGTGCTTTGATCACAGCCTGCCATTACCTCTTCAGAAGTGCCTTAAGGATGCCTTGCCCTCTGACTTGGCAGTACTAGAAAGTGAAGTTCGATTAAATTAGGGGCAGGGTGAGGTCCCTTCCTACCCAAAGTGATCTGTGATTCATTTTTGTAACATACAGGCTGTAGTTCAAACTAATCGATGTAGTGTGACAAAGTGATGTGGCCTATTTTGGGAAAGCTGAATTGAACAATCACAAAAGTCCAGGTTGTGAACTCAAAGTCCTTGGAGGTATTTGTGCTGCCCACAGTTTCTCTGCAGCCAAAAACTTAGAGGATTTAGCAGCTTGTTACCTCCTAGGTTATCTGTAGATATGCAAGCAGAGTTTGTCCCATTGTGTATTTTTGCCTATAATGACACACAAAAGATGGCAAGCTGGGATGATTCACTTGTGATCCTTTACCTATGTGATAACTTCACAAAACATTATTGCTGACATGCCATTAGTGTTTTAAATGAAAATGTCAAGTTCACTCTGTAAGTGTAGCAAAGGCATGCTGTGATTTTTGGTGTCTAAAAATGAGTCAGGAGCAGCATAGGAAATTTACACAGAGGAGTAAATACTATAGGAGAATGCTGTTCTCTTGCGTTCTTCCTAATGCTGAATTTATATTACAGACTTGAAGGTTCATTGTAGTGAGAGAGCCAAATTTCTCCATTAAATATTCTAAGCATTTCTTGGTACAAACATCATGATTAAAAACAATAGCAGTTTATATATACATATCACTCACTCCTGATGTTAATGGGACGTAAAAGCTCTGTATTATTGTGCTATCAAATGTAACCAGGCAGCTTGGATAAAAAACAACATAGAGAGTGAATATATTTCAACAATGTCTTGCTGTGAAGCTATCAAGGATTAATAGGAGATTCCAGTGTAACGCAGCAAACGAGGAAAAGTTTTACTTAGTAGCTTTCTGAAGAGACTCACTAAACGCTATGAACTGATGGTGTGTCACCCAGTAAGTTCTGCGACGTGCTGATCTCAGTACTAAATCAAGAGAGCAGTGTCTAATGGCTGAGTCTAGCATGGCATCCCAGAAAAGCTGTTGAAATCACTGTTTCTATGGAAATTTCTACAAGGGAAATCCAGGGGGCTGAACGGCATGAAAATATTCATGCAGGGATGTTGCCGAGATGGGTCATGCTGACTGAGGTGCTGGTGTAAATCGTTCCACGGGGCGGTAACTTAAAAAGCTGACTCTGCTGATCAGCAGAGGAAACGACCACAAAAGATTGGTACTGGAAGATGAGACGAGGGAGGAGTGAAGTACTTGGCAAGGCGAGAAAAGAGCCAGCAGCTGCTACAGCATGAGTAAAAATTTGTTTGTTTGTTTCCCCATTGTTCAGCTGAATTTGTTCATGATCCCACGGCTTAGAGAACTCCCTCAGGTGCAGTCACGGGATCAGCAGTGAAATCAAGCAGGGTTGCAAGTGTGGTATTCCTCCGGTTCTTCCTGGGACTAAATTACCCAGGGCAAACACCGGGAATTTGCTCATCCGATTGTCAAGGCTGTCAAGTGACTGAGGGAGATGAAGGTTTAAGTCCACCAGTGAGTTGTTTTTTAAAGGACAGAGAATCCCTGCTGAGCTGTGGCTTGAAGCCATCTGGCTAATTGCATAGGAATTTCCCACCGTGTGAAGGTGAGGTGGGGCTAACTGCAGTCATGCAGCTTTCTGTCTTGGGCTAAAAGGAAAGACAGCATCCCAACATTAACTATTAAGCCAGCTCGGATGTTGCAATCAGGAGATCAAAGGTCTACGGAGATCTGGAACATCAATTCAGGGCCTGGGCATCCATTTTAGGTGGATATATACAAATGACAGCTCACATTAAGTGAGAAAGGACCCTACAGTAAATTTATGAGAATTTCAAAGCAGATATAAATCCAACGTTACATGCAAAACAATGGTGCTTCCTTCTATTGAAAATCTTTCCTTCCTTTGTCGTGAGTCAAAAGTTTAGCTAAAGTGATGCATGCCAAATTTATTTGCAAAAGCTGGAGTACATTAAAAAAAAAACTACCAAAAAACCCCAGTGGTAGCTAACAATAGTGACGCATTAGGGATTGTACTGCTCCCAGTGTTAAACACATGAGATAATATCAACATCAGCATTGTCTCAGGAAACTCTGGATCAGAATCCTGGCCAACTAAGTTACAAAAAGGCAAGGAACCAGGATTTCACTTAAAATTTTGAGGTTTATCAGGAAAAATGGTTAGGGGAAGGAGAGAAAAATAGCTTTGTGTTTACCTTTTAGGAGTCTTACTTCAACCCGTTCAAACTTTCATGGATTATATCCTACAGATAGGTAACAGTGGTGAGGCAGGCCCTGTGCTGATGCAAAGTTCCATCTGAATTTTCTGCAACCACATGTTGCTGGAGGCTGAATTTGTGCCCCTATTGAGAGTTTCTACTTCCACCTGCAAGTATGCAGGAAGGCAGTGGGGTGTCAGATCAGTGTGCTGAAGGAGAACAGCACTGCTGCACATATATACATTATTTAGTGTAACAGGGACTTCCTAATAGTAACTTTTAGCTAGTACTGCAAAACAGTTAAATTCATAATGTATCAGGTCAGAGGAACATCAGGACACTGATTGGGGTGGGTGTGTATTTTTTAAAAGCAATGCTGAATAAAAATAAACTTCCGTGTGAAAAATATTTTTTAAATAACATTGAATAGCTCCAAATAAAACACTTAAAACCAGATCAACTGCCTAAGGATTGTCTCCTTGTTTAATTCCATTTTAACTGTACTAACAGAGGGACTACACCTGTCTGAAAACAACCAAAGATGTTTCAACACATTTTTTATCACAGCAAACATGCTGGATTGGTTTTTCCTTCAGAAATTATTGATCTTTTTTTTTTTTTTATTTACACTTTTAAAGAAAAGCTTGTCTTGCCTGTAGAGAAGTTCAGTCTGAAAGGCAAAATGACGAGAAATCTGCAAGCAACCGGAGAACACCTGCTAGAATGTAAACAGCTTGTGCAGATTTACTGCAGGCGTCCCTGAGCACCCTGCCTTTAGCAGCAGGACACACCAAAGCACTTTGCTTCAGAAAAATCCGAATAGTTTCTGTTTTTTTGGCAGATTCCAGATGAGACGAAGTTGGAGACTAGTCCCATCTCTCATGTGGATCACTGATGCCTGCAGCATCCCAGCTGCGGTTACAAACACCAGCCAAACCCCGTAAGAAAAGTGCCGGAGGATGAACAACACTCAAAGGGAAGCCGTGCTGGATGCTGTGAATAGGGAGTGCCATTTTGCACTCTGTGCTTCTCGCCGGTGCTGAGCCACAAAAGAAAGCATGATGCTATTTTAGCCAGCTATTTAGGCCCATGAATAATTCCACTGACTTATTAAGTTTTCACAGAAACTTTAAAAGTTTTAAGTACAGTTAATGTGTATCCACGTGGGTTTGCTGCGGCCAGGACCGTTTAATTTCTAAGCAACATCCATATTCTAAAATGTCATTTAAGGCTGTAGTGACCCCTTTCTCACAAAAGAAACCCACAACAAAGCAAAAACAAACAAACAAAAAAATTCTCATCACCTTTCAGTATCATGTTAACAGGAAAACTTGAAAACTTAACCCCCCGCAACTCGGCTGCCCATTGTTAACAGACAGAACACCTGCTCATCTAAAATGATACTCCTTTATCTAAAATTACAATAATTAGCTCCCGTGCCCATGCTGGAAGTGGAAACCCCAGGGAAATTTAGAACAGGAACCGTCTACGCTCATTTCCCAAGGTATACACTTGGCTAGTTTGGGGAGGACAGATGATCGGCGGGGGGGACATTTTCGAGCGCTCACTGGAGAAGTTGTGAGAGCCCCGCTGATCAGCGGGGATGCCGGGGGGCCGCAGGACTTGCAGAGGGACGTGCCCGTAGGCTGAGGAGCGGCATCAGGCAACCGAAACGCGCCTTTGCCGGAGGGAGGGAGGGAGGGAAGAAGGGAGGGCGGGAAGCGAAGCAGTTTCGGGAAGCCGCGTCCCCCTCCCCTCTCCGGACAGCGGCGGGGGCGGCCTCGGGGAGCCGGCCCGGGGGAGGAGCGGAGCCGAGCGGAGCCGCACGGCGCGCCCGCCCCGCCAGCCCGGCCGGCTCTGCGGGGAGGCCCTGCCCGAGCGGGGCCGCCCCCACGCCTCTCCCGCCGCCGCCTGCACCACTGGGAAGATGGATGGGCACGTCCTGGGATGGATCGTCCTCCTGTGGATCGCAGGTAGGGCCGCGAGCAGAGGCACGGGTGGCCCGGTGGCCCCGACGTCCCCATGCCGTGCTCAGCCCGCCGGGCTCCGCGGCTTTCCTGAGGGAGAAAACTGAGGGAGGTTTTGGGGAGATGCTCCGCAGGGAGCCGGCGTGGGGCCGGGAGCTGCTCGGGGGCGTCCCGCGGTGCAGTTTGCGGGGACTTGGCGGAGAGGGCTGGGAGCGGGGGGCAGCCGGTGCCTCCCGGGGCTCGGGGCAGCTCCGGGCGGCCCCCGGCGCTTCCCTTCCCGCCGCGGTGCGGAGAGAGCGCGCCCGTCCCGGGGAAGGGGCGGCCGGCCCGGGGGTGTCGGAGTGTCCTTGGCCGCGGTGCGAGAGGGATGGCGGGCGACGAACCCCCGGCTCCCCCCGTGCCGTGCCGGGAACAATTGCAGGAACTTCTCCTTCACCCGGTGTCCTGACCGCACATGCCGTCCAACAGAGGTGTGAGAGGAGGGGGCTGCCCTGCCTCTGCCCCGGCTTCCAGAGGGGCAGAATTCCAGGGGGGCCTTCCCCGTGACGGTGCAGTCGCGGCCAGGCCTTTGTGAGCGCAGGACGGGGTTGTCCCCCAGCCCAGCCCGCCGCCCACCGCTCGCCTCCCCAAAAGGTCGGGCAAGTGCCCCCCTAGGGCAGGGGGAGGGAGCCGGAGAGGCGAGCAGAGAGGGCTCAGTGATGGGGAGAGGGCAGGGGGGACCCATCCTGACAAGGGGATGGGTCCGAGAGTTGGGCAGCGAGAAGAGGGAAGAGATTAGAGCAGGGTGAGAGCGGCGGGGCAGCCGGGGAGAAAGAGAAAGCCGTGTCAGGTCAGGAGCAAGATCTGCCTCCGGTGAGCCTGTGCAGCAGCCAGGCACAGGCAGGAGCAGCAGGCTGTAGGAAAAGCTGCAGTAGGATGACTTAGCCAGGCAGGCTGAAAGAAGAAAAACAGACACTCTTGGGTTAAGTGGCATATATTTCCCAGTGTCACCTATGTATCCCGCAAAAAAGACCTCAGCCTCTTCCCTCTTCCTATTCAGATTTAGGATTCACAAGCAGTAAATTCGGCTTTTAGTCATAACACCTCTCTCCCACCACCCACCCACCCCTTTCCTTGCATTTTCACTCTGAGTCATCCTCAACACCGGTGCCTGCCTACTGCTCCCTTCCAGGGTTTCACGGCCTCATCTGGGGCTTCAGCAGCTTCCAGCTCATTCTCCCTCCCTTCTCTCCCTTCCTCCTTCCCTGCCATTTGGCTGCTTCCAAATGTATCCCGCTTCAGTGAGTTGGTCCGGAGTGCCAGCGCACCCACAGCCGCCCCTCCTTTCCTACTAGCCCCAGTGGTGTGCTGATAAATAGCATCCAAGGACCCGCAAAGGAGTGCGGGGTGTAGCTGAGCATGACATTACATTCCTCCCTCTTTCTAAAGAGCTTCTTTATCTGGACATGTCAGGCTAATCAGGACTTTTTTATCAAGCTAAAAGACCGGGCTGTTGACACTTTTCTCCTTCCACTGAGGGCAGTTCACGATTCCTGGCAGCGAGCAGTGTTTGGAGCACGCAGGGTCAATGCAGAGAGAGGGAGAGAGAGAGGTACCGCTGCAGTGGGAAGACCTTCCAGTTTCCTCCAGCCCTCTGTGGTTTCGAGACAGGGCTGCGTGCAGCTGGTGCTGTGGAGAGCTGGCAGGCACAGGCTTCCGGCAGGCAACAGGTTATCCATAGCTGTGTGCTGAGGGATGGAGGCATTCCGTGCTCCCCTGCTCCCCTCCAGCCTCCTGCCGCTGCTGCCCAGCCATAAATCAGAAAGCAAATAAGTCAAGGTGTGTGTTGTGTGTGTGTGTGCACAGAAAAGGAGGAGGGGGCTAGCTAGCAAACATGGATTCGAGATTTTCCTCTCCCCAGTGGCTGTGCAAAGGAATGAAAGGTCTGCATCAAGGTAAGGAGCCCTAATCCAGCCAGAGTGGTACACTCCACTCTGGGGAAGAGGAGTGGGGGTTGGGAGGTGGAGGGGCCAGGGGACAGAGTGCAGGATGGGGAAGAAGCAGGGAGACAAAAGGGACCAGCTCTCGTTCCCTTCCCTCCCCTCCTCCCTCCTCGAGGTGGGCTGAGAAAATTCTAATCAGCACTTTCAGTCCCTTTCCTCCCAGCAGTAATTCCTCTCTGTCCTTTGTTTGTCTTTAATTTTTGGCTCTTGCATTTATCTTTTGTTTGGTTTTGCGCATTGTGAGTTCTTAGGGCAATTTCAAAAAATCCTGTGTGAGGCACAATGGATTTGGTTTGGCTTCTCCCCCTCCTGTCCTGCTCTCCCACGTGCCTGAAGCAAGTGTTTTAATAACAACAGCAAATGGATGAAGAGCAGGTCGTTCTTTATTCCTTCCTGTGAGGTCACACGGGTTAAAATATGTGTGGAGCTGTGCTCTCATTCTATAAAAAGAAGACACAATTTGCCAAGTATCCTCAGTCCCTGTGTAAAGCCTGTTCTTGTAAATTACCAAGTGCAGCTTGATTCTGGAATGAATCCTCCCCTTGTGTTTACCATTTTCTTATTAATGCTGTAATTTCTAATGCATTTGAAACGAGAACATAGTGCCTTGCTGGCTACTGAACTTCAGTTTTAGTACAGAACAAGCAGATCAAATTTTTCCTGCCTCACAACTTGGACCAAGCTTGGAAAAATCACAATTAGAAGACTGTCCATGTTAAAATGAGATCTTTTCTCTCTGATAAGTGCTTTTCCACCAGTAATTTAGCACTCAGTCCCTGTATACTGTTGCTGTACCTGTTCTTTCCCAGCCACAGTTCAGGGGGGCAGGCAGAGGGGGCATGCTGGAGCACAGCTGTGTCTTTGCTGTTTCTGTGACCAGCTGACCACACTTATTGGAAAGGCAGGGAAATGGTTGCACTCTTTTACTGGTCTTGATTTAAAGTGTTCATCTGACTTCCCTTGCCTGGCTTCACAGAGCATAGCAAGTGTAGCATAACTGGGAAGAAATCTCATGTTTTTCTTACTTTGTGTTCCCGTGAGGTCACCTTGAGTGAGACTGGCAGCAGTGGAAATCCCAATGCCATCCCAAGGACAGGTATTATGCCTTGGTGTTAACAGGCTTGGAGGAATTCTTCACATTGCTTTGCTTTGCTCTCGGGCTTCTGATGAGTGATATTTCTGGGAATGGTTTCTGGGATGCTGAACCAAGTCTAGATCAGGAGGCATCTGACAACTGTAACGGGTTTCAGACAGCAGTAAGACAGGGTGGGTTTGATCTGGTGTCCAGAGCTGAGATAATTCACCTGAGAGCACCCAGGGTGACTTGTGAATGTGTGAAAGGGGCTGTGGTAAGGGAGTGTAACAAGCACAGGGAAGCTGATGAAGAGAATGAAGTGAGGGGCAGGGGGTGCCTGGGGAGAGCACCACAGAGAATGGGGAAGAGCAATGCCTACTGCTGTCATTTTGCACAGCCTGGGCTGTCCTACATGGAGTGTTTTTGTATTGAGGCTCTGTGCTATGAGTGCTGGCTGCTCAAGGCCACGCTCTTCTGCAGCTGCTTTGGGTTTTCCCCTTTCCAGGTTAAGTAGATGGAGAGCTGAAATTCTTGGTTTTGCTGTGGAGCTGTTGAAAACAGAACCATGCTTTCACCTCAGCTGCAGCTGACTTGTTCAGGCATTGGTTTCTTGCTTCCAAAAAAAGTTGATGAACACAAGTCTGATAGGAACCAGACCAAGACATCCAATTAATTTCCCATAAGCACTGGACACAGTCTGATGGTGATGGCTTTTTCTGATAAATTGCATGGATTGGATTAAGTCCAACATGAGTAGGCAAGAACCTGTACAATATAATCTCAGTTATCCCACTGGCTCTCCATTCATCTGTTTACACATCTCTTTATAATTTCTTGACTTTCTGGTCTCAAAGCCCAGATCTTGCCCTTCCTGATTCAAGCTTGATCCATATCTGAAAGTATAAATGGTGTGCCAGTATTCAACAGTGGGGGAGAGAGCACTTTGAAATGATGCATAGTATCCAAGGTACCAAAACCAGCAATACTTTTGCCCAATAGTTAATTTTATTTGGGAAGGGGTATAAGCTACCCTGAGGGCACTGTCTCTTACCAGGGAACGGATGCTTTTCTGCCAAAACCCTGAGGTAAGTCTAGGAGTGGCTTTCCTGAGGTGCCTGGTTCAGGACCCAGTGATTTCCATTATGCTGTGTGCACAACTGCCACTCCTGTCAATAAAGGAACATGAAAATGGGGGATGCAATTTTTGTAGTTTCGTAGAATCAACTGTACTACCTCAGGCAAGCAGTAGCATGAGCCAAGTAATTGCAAAGAAAGAGATGAGATGCATGAACAGATAGGGAGACTCATCTGACCTGAAGAACAATGTGTGCTGCCTTCCTTCACTTGGACTTGAGTCTTGTGTGCTCCAGAGGGATGCAGCCTGAGACATGTTCCATTGAGCTACAGGATTTGGCCTTGCCATTACTTCCAGAGTTTGGTGCTTCAGATCAATTTTATTCTAACTACATGATATTTAAGGTCTCCTCCAACCCAAACCATTCTGTGATTCTATTCCTAGAGGCTGTGTAGTGAAGTTAAATCTTCATTTCATCTCAGGGAGGCATAGGCTTCTCTGGAGGTCAGTGGCAAAGCAAAAGCCTCAGTTATCACCTCTCAGTTGCCTTCTCTCTTGCTCAGGGAAGGGGCTTAGGAAGATCAGGCACACCAGGCTCAAACCCGCCCTTACAAATATCCCCTCTGTAATCGCTTCCTGGAATTTTCTTTAATCACCAGTGAAATGTATTAGTGGTAGCTTGTGTGTAGTGTTGATTGCATAGTTTGAATGCATAATCTGAGGATAGTTCAGGAAAGGAATCAGAGCAAGGAGACAAATGCACATTGCCAATTGAAAGAGACAAACCCCATACAATTATATTTCGGAAGTGTGATTATTTTTAAGCTCTTTCTCCGGGAGTCTGTGTGTGTATATATATTTGTACAGACACAAAAAATCATGGATTCTTTTTATTTTCTAAGAGAAAGGATAACTGTCTTTATAAGATGCAATTGATTAATATTTTCAGACCTTTTTCTTTGGGTTTAGGAGAGCAAGAAGGGAGGAAAGCAGAACAGTCATGTAGTCAGGAGATTCCCAGGAGCTAGATTTTATTCTTGTTGAACTTGAAACATTGTGAAATTCACAATGAACAGGTTCCTTCTCTAGAGTGCAGGAATTGCATTTTCGTCATGAGTTTGAAGTAAAGGCTAATTTTACTCTGTCTGCATCAGTCAAAACATAGCACAACACAATTCAGTTTCTTTTTAGTCCTATTTATATTAAACTAGACAAAGAGCTACCATGATGCTGTCACTAAGCTTCTCATAATTTTTCACATATCTCACTCTTCTTTTTCTCTGCTCTATTAACAACTCAGAGTTCTGCCCTCTGATACATCTGAGGCTTTTCTTGTCTTGGCTACACTACATTTTCAGGTCAGCAGTTTCTTCTTGGAGGGGAGGAAGTCCTATAATTCCTATGCCTGGACATAACTGATCAGTGTAAAGCCACCATCTTGTCTTCAGGCAGTCGAACATCCTGCTGGCCTGGCCTTTTTGGTGGACACTCTTACAGCAGTGACATACTGCATGAATCAATTCCAGTAATTCTTTTTTGGCAGAGGAAGTAACAGGTGTATAATTTCCCAATTCAGCCATATATAATTATATATAATTTGACTTAAATAGATCTAAAGTTTCCTCTGCTCCAGTCTCCCAATCTGAAGCACTCTGTTGCTCTTAAATGCTATTCCTGGAAGGAATCTGAAAATAATACTTAAGAAGTTAATAAAGAGCTTGGGAAAGGATATAGAACGTGCCAGATAGTTTTCTGCACATCTCCAAAATGCTGTTTGGTAGAAAAAGAATTCCTGTATTTTCCCAAAAGTTGCATTTCTTTTCTTCATATAGACATTCACATGGGGGTAGGGTGGGGAAAGTTAGTCAGATGAGAATTTGCTAAAGCTCAGCTAATCATTTATTAAAGCAGTCCCTGGCTTGCCAAACTCATTAATCTCATTAACAGGGAAGGAGGGCTGTGGTGCATGGTTAGCTGAGAGCACTGTGTTTTCTAAGCAGCGTACCCTCGGTTCACAAGGGAAAGATTTAAATATTCAGTGTGTCACTGTTTTATCCCTGAAGCTGAGGTAACGTGATGAGTCACTTGATCAGCTCATGCCACATGCTGGCCTTGGCCTCACACTCTGAGGGGTCATGGAGCTGCCAGACACTGGTCTGACATGGACCCATTGGGTTTTCAAGGTGTTCTTCATGTTTCTTGCACTCAGATGCAACCCAGAAAGTGTGACTCTCTGTAGAGGTGAGGTTAGACATCAACATTTGGTTCACCTTGCTCAAGTGGTGGCATTCCCTTAGTGCCACATGGTCCCTGGGTAAAGGAAGCCTGGCAGGAATGTCCCACCTGCCACTTCCCGAATAATCTCTCTGTCTGTGTCTCAGGAAAGTGCAGGAGCTCCCTCATTCCCTGCCTGTCCTGTGGGAGACCTCAGCTGTGCTTGGTGGTACTCTGGAGAGCAGCCACACTTCAGTGTTTGGATTTGGGTCCAGGCACTTCTGGCAAAACTGAAAACCTCCTGTGCAGCTTCCACATGGCACAAGCACAATGTGCATGGTGTCCTGCATTCATTATATGCATAACACAGCATTTCTGTGCAAGTGCCAGAGCATCCTTGTGTTCCTCAAGCCTTCACATAGTAGTCCTCAAGGTGAAATCCTGTTTAGATTAGTAACTCTGTTAGTAGCAGTGACCACCTTGCCTCTCTGAAATTAGCTTTCCCCTAGGTTCTGTCCATGCTGTGTTTTCCATTTCCACCTGGGATTTATAGACTTCATTGTGCTCTACAGTTCACTGCAGACAGTGTATCACTGCAGACAGTGATAACTTGTTGAATTTAATATTCACTGTTTTATCAGCCTCTTCACTTTCCTTTGGTTCTGAATCCTGATCATGCAATCTCTGCTCGCTCTGGCTTCTAAGGTCTGCAGCTGTCTCCAGCTTGACCTTGTCTCTTCATGCCTTGTCTCTTCATGCTGTTATACAGTTGATGCATTTATTGCTCTCTGTCTGCTTCAAGCTCCAGTGCTTTAGTCTGTGCCTTCCCCCCCCCCCCCATTCTAAAGATATCTCCTGTCATTTCACTTTCTTTTGCCAATTTCCATCTCCTTTTCATCTCTGCTTTCTGGAGTGGGTGGGTTATTTTTTGCTGACTCCATTTCCTCTCTTCTCTACATCATTTCTGAATCTCCTGCAACCTGACTGCAGCCCTTCGTACTTACTTTGACCTGGGCTGAGACACCTTCTCCAGCTTCTTCCAACTGAATGAGAGCTTCCTGATTGTCATCTTCCTCATCATCCTGCTTCTTATATTTGCTCTGATACTTTACTCTTTTTTCTTCTTTCTTGCATTTTCACTTATCTTCTGCTTATTGATATCAGGAAGTCTTTCTTTGTTCTCAGTCTTTTCATTCCTCACTAAGCTTCCCCAAGTCCACCAGTCCCTTCTGCAGATGTTGTGTAGACTTTCTCTTCTGCTTCGTTGTCTTGAACATTTCCTTGTGTTTCCTTTTTTTCCCCTGTTTCCCTGTGTATTCCCTGTTTCCCTCCTGCTCTGGGTGAGGGGTGTGGTAACACCAACATTTTCCATACTGAGCCTGATTCCCTTTTTCTGGTGTTGTGTGAGTGCTCTCAGACATTGCTGCCTGCAGCACAAGGAGGGAAGCAACAAAGGGCATCTGGGGGAGTTTTGGCCAAATCCCTGTGGGTGGATGGAGGGCCTCACTCTCTAGAGGGCTGACATTCCTCACTGACTCTCCCTCAGCTACACAAGGGTGTAATAGCAGTCCCCTGCATCTTCTCTGGGGCCTTGATGCATCAGGTCCAGGCTGCAGCTCCCCTGTCAGCTGCTAGATAAACATTACATGTTGAGATTCCTCTCCTCCCTGAGAATGTGAAAAACTTGAGGGTTTGGCCCCTTTTTCTCCACACCTCCCACATGGAGCAGTTTGTCTCAGTGCTACTTGCCAGCCCTGGGAAGAGCTGTGTGATTTGGATCCGCTCCTTTGTGCATCTCTGGAGTTTGGCAGAGCAGGCAGCACTAACTGGGCACCAGTGCAGAATGGTCCAGGCACTGTGTGTTGCCTGACTTATAAAGAGGAGGTGTGGTGCCACTGAAATGGGGAGGGAGGTGACTTATTCTGCAGTGGGATTGCCATGAATCTGACCCCTTGGCTGACCTGCTGTACAAGTGGAGCATGGCCATCCCTAAAATACCTCTTCCTTATGTCTGAACCTGCCCCAGAAGCTGTGAATCATCACACCATTGTATTAGGGCTTCTATAGCATAAGGATGGTACGTTTGAGCCTTCAGCCCTATCATGCTGTGTTTTTCCTTGTGACTGTAAGCTATGAAAAAGCAAACTTATTTCTGCTGCCAACATCCGTGCTTACATACATTGAGGAGTGTTGCTCCCTAGCACCTGAAACAGATGGACAATTTTATGTATGTGAGGAGAGTAATGCTGTGACAAAATGCAGCAGCTCCCTCTTCAAGCAGTGCCAAGACATATGATACTCATGTTTTTGTCTTCTAGCTGAGGTGGAAGGGTTGCAGGTCACCGTGCCTGAGAAGAAGAAGGTGGCCATGTTATTCCAGCCTGCTCTGCTTCGCTGCCATTTCTCTACTTCTTCCACCCAACCAGCTGTGGTACAGTGGAGGTACAAATCCTACTGCCAGGACAGGATGGGAGAAGCTCTGGGAATGGTGACTTCTGGTTTGCAAACAATGAGCAAGAGGAACCTGGACTGGGATCCCTACCTGGACTGTGTGGACAGCAGGAGGACAGTCCGTGTCGTGGCCTCCAAGCAGGGATCTGCCATCACCATAGGAGACTTCTACAAGGAAAGAGACGTCAGCATTGTCCATGGTAACTCTCCTACCCCAGGGATGCTTGGTGGGGGCTGCAATGGACCCTCAGCAATTTGGGACACTGGAGTCTGGCAGTAATTGTTCACTTGAATCCCTCAGAAAAGGCTGTGGGAAGGGATGTCTGTATGTCAGACATTTAGGATTCAGCCAACCAATCCTAGACCCAAAGGTAATTTCCTTTGGCGCTTCCCTTCAATTAACTCTAGGTCTTCAAATACAGTATTCTTTTTTCCCTTCCATGAAGTGGAAGCTTTTTATTCCTGACTTCTGCATATTGCTGTGTATATAGGTTTTCCTTAGCAAAGGGGTGGCAGCAAGAGATACAAATTCAGTCTCTGCAGGATAGGTTTTTCTTCCTTGCAAATGCCACTGCTGTTTTCTTAGTTCTGAAATACCAAGCTTATCCCAGACCTCATGTTTGCTCAGCCACAGACTTACCCTGTCATGAACCTAAACTGACACAGCTTTGGGCAGAGTGAAAGGAAGAGATTTCTGTGGGGTGAAGTCAGGTTGGGTGGAGATAAGGGATGGCAGGGTCCTTAAACATTTTTGTCTGGAAGGCTGTGTGAGAGACCTTGTCCCTCAAAAGTACAAAGTGTCTGATTGACTGGGGAGACCACCTAGCCAGAAGTGGAGGTGTGAAGAGCATGTGATCAGCCTCACAAGAGGGAGCGTTTTCCTTTGTCTCTGTGTAGCCTCTTCACAAATGACTGAGGTGCTGTGAGGAGACACTGTGTCTAAGCCCTTCTTTCATGACAGGAATAGTGTTGGGATCCATGCCCTAGGTGACAGGAAGGACAGAGAGACATTAGTGACCCCTTGAGCTCTTGCAGGGTGAGCTGCCTCTGCAGCATTATCTGATTTCCCACCTACAGCCAGAAGTCCTGACCTGTTGTTTTTTTCCTGAATACTGTGATAAATTCTGGATGAGGTTAAATCTTCTTCTTAGAAAGGAATGAAATGGATTTGGGACACAGAGATGGATCCAGTGCATTCTTCCTGCAAGTGTTGGAGAAAAAACCTGACTTTTCTTTTTTGCCTTCCAGATGCAGACCTGCAAATAGGGAAATTGATGTGGGGAGACAGTGGCCTCTATTACTGCCTTATTATCACACCAGATGATGTGGAGGGCAAGAATGAAGAATCAGTGGAGCTGCTTGTGCTTGGTGAGGCCTCTTGTCGGGCTGCTTTTTCGGCAGATACCTGATGCATCTTTCCTCCTGCTCTCTTGCTGTCTCTTCATTCCCATGCACTGTATTACTATGGGTGTAAGAGCTATGTAAAACAGTCCCTGCAGTGCTGTCACCATTGCCTTGCACCTTGTGCAGTCATTCACACCTAGGCAAAGTGGGTGGCAAATGCTACCAAACCAGAATAGTAATGTTTACACCCACACTGCTCACACGTTACACAGGCGTAAATGACTGCAGAGAGTGCGGGGCTATAGAAAGGCAGAACCCTTGTTTTTAAGGGATAAAACAAAAAACTTGCAGCAAAATGAACACTTGAGACAGAGTCTTTTAACAGCAGACACCCAGAAGACATCAGATCCTGTGATTTTTGCAGTCCTCATCCCACTCTTCTGACCTGTGAGGCTGTCAAGAAGCACTGTGTTGAACGTGTCAGTTTAGGAGATTTTTTTGTGTGCCCGATAACACTTGTCCAGTTAGAGGTGCAGTTTCACAGTCATCCTAATCAGGGCTGACCTGGTGCTGCCACTAACAGGACCTACCCTCTCTGTGGTGTGTGTGCTTGGCTCTGCTTCTCTTAAGTTCCCTTGAGCAGTGTGCTGAGCAAGATCGGTTTCTTCCCTATTTTCAGGGTTTGCTTTCAGTGGTGGCTTCCATGATTCAGCTCACTGTAAAGGTCAGAAAAGCAGCCATTCCAGCTAGAGGAGAAAAGCAGAGTGGAATGGGCCTTTCAGGGACTTTTGTTGACATGCCTGGAGCCAGCTGTAGTGCTTCAAACCTAGATGCCCCAGGAGAGCAAGCTGAGTTTTTCACAACTTACCTTAAGACCTCACAGTGCCTCTTGTGTGTACAGATCTGTGCATCTGTGATGGAAATATTAAAAAGCTTGGGTTGATAGTGTGTAGGTGATCTGTGGAGGTGTACAGTAGAACACATCTGTCAAGCATTCCCTTGATCTCCTACCAAAGGTCAGAGTTTAATTGGTCTTGGTATTTGGAGCCATAGTTATCATCACCAAGTAAACCAGACTGAATGACTGAGTGGCTGTCACAGTGCCATTGCCTCTCCTCACCCCTTTAATGTCAGCCAAATAATGGACAGTTGGAGTGGAAGGTCAGAGAGTGGAAGGTCAGTCTGGTCACTCCAGAAAACAGTGTCACACGCCTGTGTAAATCCACAGTGTGACATCTGTGTATCATCTGCACTTAGTGACAGGCCCAGGACCAACCTGTGTGAGTTCAGGTGAGGTTGTCTCTGCCAGGTGGCAGTGGTAGCTGTTAAAATCCTCTCCTGAGATCCTGTGTCTCTGCAGTGATGAGCTGCTGAATTTTTGTCCCTTTTTCACCTTCCTGTCTAGGATTTGGTGTCTTCCTGTTGTATATCTACAACTGTGCTCAGACACCAGTGATGAAACAGTACCATGGTAACAGGAAAAATTGGTTTTTCAGTGTGTACAGAAGGCTGTGGGGAGAAAACACAGAAATCCCTTCCTCTGGAGCTGGCTTGATGTCTCTGCCCTCAGTTCATTGTGGGTACATTGGGGGACACGTAGCTTAGGCTGATCACCCATGACCACATCTGCTTTTCTGTTCCACCTCTGGGCCTGACCTTGCACTTGATGCAGCTCTCTGCCAAGTTTGGCAGCAGCATGAGAGCAGACTTGTCGTGGGCTTCCTTCTGCCTCATGCTGTTAGGCAGCTTCTGTATATTGCTTTTCCTGGGTAGAGGCAACATTCCAGCTTTTGGTGCAATCCAGGATTACCTACCTGTTTTCCTCCTTCCCTCTCTTCCCCTTCCCACCTTTTTATTTTCCTTCTGCCTTTGCTGTTACTTTTTTCTTTGTTTTCCTTTATCTTTCCCTATTGATGGCTAAAGGATGAAACAGCTAGTGATGAAAATACTGTTTCTTAATATTCTGCATATTCTGGGATATTTTTTATTCCCATTGCTTGGAGGGAGACACTGAATAGAGATGTAGGTTGCAGCAATTTTACAGTCCTAGAGGACATGTGATAAAAGGGTTTTGTTTGCTGTTCTGCTGCTCTTTGGGTGGAACCCAGATTCCCTGTTAGAGAGTTTGGAGCAGCAGAGGGATAGTGTGTGAGAGATGCTACGATTCCCAGAGCACATTGCTGTTTGCTCCCTGCTGACAGTGGTCTCTCAGATACAATTTACATTGCTTATTTTGGGGTTGCTGCATGAAATTCAGCATAAATTAGAATTTTGAATAGAGCAGAGGTTCTATCCACTCATGTTATCCTTAGGGTGACAGAAAAATCAGAATGGAAAAGGAAATAGGAAAATATCCCTTCTAGTGGTTTCTTATTAATGCCAGGATGAAAGGGCAGTTTAATATCATGTTGAAACCATGAAAAGACTGAGAAGCAAAAGTGATAGATATCATACCAATAGCATAAATAAATTAATGGAAGTTTGTTTAGCTAAAAATGCAGGGTCCTGTTTTTATACAGTGAATCATACCATGAAAAATTGATCAAAAGGCACTTTATCACGACTTAGAGCAAAATCTAAAACCTGGGCAAATTACAGTATTTCCTTTTTTTCTTAGGAAAGCGATCACAGAGACCTTCAGTGACCCCTTAAGTAGCCAGGGAGCCTGGGTCTTGATGGGATTGCATGTTGGGTTTGGTTACCTGGACGGGTCATGTTGACACTCAGAGCTGCTGGTCAGCTCTGGCTAGCAGCAGAGAATCCCATGTGCTGTCCTCATGTCACACTTATTTCAGAAAAGCATACCAGCGTTTGTTTATATCCATTTGTGCTCAGCAAAGCTGATAGGATTTGTAAAGCATACCTAATGTTAGGCACGTGCTTGTTTGTACTTTGCTGAAAAGACCATTCAGTATCTTCTGCTTAGTCAAGGACTTTAACCCTCTCGAAGGGAATCAGTGCAGGTGAGGGAAGAGGAGTTACAACATCTGTCTCAGAAACACAGGAGATCGGGGTGGTGAACCTCCTCTGGAGTAAGGAGAGAATGCAAAAATTACATATTTATTATATTTTAAAAATACACTTGACACCTTATTATTCTTTGCAACTGTCTGAAAGGAGCTTGTAGCAAGGTGGGGACTTATCCTCAAGCTGTGTTGGGAGGGGGTTCAGGTTGGACATCAGAAGGAATTTTATCACATAAAAGGTTGGTTAAACACTGGAATGGGCTGCCCAGGGAGGTGTTGAAGTCACTGTCTCTGAGGTGTTTAAGGAAAGACTGGATGTGGCACTCAGTTCCATGGTCTGGTGGTGTTTGGTCACAGGTTGGGCTCAAAGACCTCAGAGGTCTTTTCCAACCTACAAGACTCTGTGATTCTCTGATAAATGTGCATTTTGATGGCATTTGGAATCTCCAAACAGGATGTAGTGTGCTGGAGAACTGTATGAACTCTGCTTCTGCAGACTAGTCCAGCACGTAGCAATTCCACATCAGGAATTGAGTGAATCTCCCTGCGCTCATGTGTTTTATTAGAAAAGGAGAACCTTTGCTGACATTACAGCTGCGCTAATGAATCCCTTTGAAACCTTATACATTTTAATTTTTAAACTTTTTAATGTGATTGAATCTTAAAGGCTGAATCCTAAATTGAAGAAAGTCTACATTTCTGTCGTAGTAGCTGGCAGCTAATGTCCTGCTTCTTGAAACACAGACAGTGCTATTAATCATATTGTTATTTGTAGCCCCTGTGTATTGCTTTTTTATATAAGAATGTCAGTGGGCTTCAGTGAAGTAATTCATTGCAGCCTTTCTGAAGGGAACTGCACGTGTACCAGTGCAGGGATGCAGCGTGCCTGGAGTAACCTTCAAACCAGAGCCACAGTGCAGTGTCAGTGTCATCCTGGCTTCTTGTCACCAGCTCACAGGAGGAGGCAGTCCAGCTTCATTGCATGGCCTTGCATACAACCCAATAAGCCTTCCCAAGTGTCAGAATTTACTAACCAGGTGCAGGGACCTATGGAAGCTGCTACACTGCTCCCTTCCCAAGCTGGAACAGGTAAAGAGCAGTGCCTGTACGTACAGCTCAGCACAGCTGGGTACCCTGGAACCCATAGGTCTGTGCAAGCTCGGTGATGTCTGCATTCTTGTGAAGCTTAGACATGCTTCACAAAACAGTGGCTCCATTCCTTGGGAGTTCTGGAAGAGGTCAGAAAGTACTCCACTAATTCCAGTTGTTGGTTTGATGCTTTGTTAGTGATCTGTGCACTTTGCTAGACAGATATTGCCAGCTTTCTTTTCCATCCAATTCAGCAGCTAATATTACATAAACTGTGTATGAGTGAAATCTTATTTTCTGGTTAATCATAGAATCATTAAGGTTGGAGAAGACCTTCAAGATCACTGTGTTCAACCTTTGATTGAAGACCACCATCTCAACTAAAACATAGCACTAAGTGCCACATCCTGTTGTTTCTTGAACACTTCCAGGGATGATGACTCCACCACTTCCCTGGGCAGCCCATTCCAGTGCTTAACCACCCTTTCAGTGACAAAATTCTTCCTGATGTCCAACCTGAAGCTATTCTGGCACAGCTTGAGGCCATTTCCTCTCATTCTGTCTCTTTCCCTGGGAGTGGAGGTTGACCCATCATTCCACACCCTCCTTTCAGGCAGTTGTAGAGAGTGGTAAGGTCCCCCCTGAGCCTCCTTTTCTCCAGGTTAAACGCCCTCAGCCACTCCATCAGGCTTGTGCTCCAGACCCTTCCCCAGCTCCGTTCCCTTCTCTGGACTCACTCCAGCCCCTCAATGTCTTTCTCAGAGCGAGGGGCCCAAACATAAACACGGGACTTGATGGGCCTCACCAGTGCTGAGCACAGGACAATCCCTGCCCTGCTCCTGCTGGCCACACTATTCCTGATCCAAACCAGGATGCCATTGGCCTCCTTGCTCACCTGGGCACACTCTGGCTGACATCCAGCTGCTGTTGACCAGCACCCCAGGTCCTCTTTCATTGCATAGTTTTCCA